GTATAATAAATATATTATTTATATATTAAATAATATTTAAAAGAAATCTTATTGAGCCGAACTGAGCTCGAGTTTTATTAGTATTAACGAGCCAAGCCAAACCGAGCTCGAGCCCCAGCCCAGTTACTTATCAAGCCAAGCTCGAGCTCGATAAGCAAACGAGCTGAGCTTGAGCTCAGTAAAACTCGGCTTTGCTCGACTTGTTTGCAATCCTAGTTACGTCGTTGCCTTCGTTGCATTAAAAATTATATACTAAATGGATTTGCAGATAAACATTTGCTTCAATTTGTGGTTAAAGCCTTGCATTAAAAATTATATATCAAATGGATTTGCAGTTAAACATTCACTTTTATGTTACCTCACTTACATTAAAAATTATATATATATATATATTGAGTTCGAAGAACAAAATATGAAAGCCGTTTGGAGAAATAGAAAGAAGATCTTCGAAAAGCTAACGTATATAATAATCTCGTAGCCAATTACATTAAAAATTATATATATATATATATATAAAAGTAGTGTTTACGTTCAATTTTTTTTCTTTTTTCTATATGGCATATCTCTCCTCTTCTTTTTTTTTCTCTCTCTACTATGTGGCGCATTACTCTTCTCTCATACTTTTTTAAAATGCCCTCTCAATTTTACGTGTTTTTAAAATGCCATTATATATAGACATTCTCAATGCACTCTCAATCTTACATATTTTTTAAATCAACGTTGACCTCATTTAGAATTGACAACTGCTTATACATCATCAAATAGTTCGCTAAAACTCTTAACTTTCTATGTAAAAATTTATATTGCATGATAAGTCTTACTATTTATTAAATATGGTGTGCCAAACACCCAGTTGGTGAAACAAAGTGATGAAATAAAATCAGTGAGAAATAAGATTTTTCTCTAGAACCAACTACTATTAAAGACTTGTTTGGTATCATTTTCAAAAGTTATTTTTACTTTTGAGACCAAAAAAAAAAAAAACAGAAACTAAATGAAAAACATTTGAGAAACTATTTTAAGAAAATGTTTTTGGACCAATTTTTACAAGTAAAATTAAATATATAATTAAGTTTTATCTTGAAAAAATACAATTTTTGAAAGGGAAAAATGCAGTTTTAGAAACCAATTGTGTTTAGTGGTCTAGCTTTTTCAGTTTGACTTTATTAGGGATACCCTTCTATACATATATATATATATATATATGTGTGTGTGTGTGTGTGTTTTTCTAGGAATTTTTTGATTCATTTTAGGGTTTAGGTTCACAGGTGTTGTTTGGATTATTTTATTTTTTATTTTTTTTTATTTATGGTGTGAGTGTTGTTTTGTATCTTGTTTGTCATGTTGTTGTTTGGATATTTATGTTTAGACATTGTTGGATTATGCTTTTATATATATTATTTTTACTTGCCTCAAAAAAAAAAAAAAAGGGGGATATGCAAAATTTAAAAATAAAAATGAAAAAGAAAAAAGGGTGAGGGATTTTTTAGGGACGGGGGGTGATGGATTCCCAACTAGAGATCGGGGGTGAGGACGGGGACGGGGAGTGTAATCCTCGACCCGTTACCATTCCTAGACTTTATGGCCTTTGAGGCTTGGGCTTCCTCAAAACAGCAAAACTAGTAAGTGATTCCATAGTTTTGGAAATCGGAATAGACCGGCCAGTTGAACTAGTTGGCCTGTCAACTAGTCGTTGGTCTGATTCGGGTCTCTGCCAAAACCGTTCTATACAAAGAATTAGAGTGTTATGTGAAATTCGCTTCAATTTGAGATTAAATCGCTGAACCAGTTAACTCAATCCGGTTATGTTGCCACCTTGCATTAAAAATTATATACTACATGGATTTATCGTTAAACCTTGAACTTGTTGACCCGGTCCGATTCCTTGCATTAAAAATTATATACCAAATGAATTTGCTGTTAAACATTTGCTTCAATGTTAAAGCCTTGCATTAAAAATTATATCGAATGGATTTGCAATTAAACATTCACTTCTATATTGGCTTCCGTACATTAAAAATTATATATATATTATTGAGTTCGAAAAAGGAACAGGACAGCCAGCACGCGGGAAATAGATAGAGGGTCATATATATATATATAATTGAGTTTTAAAAAAAAATAGAAAAGTCGCTTGAAGAAAAAAAAACAGGAAAGCCAGCATGCTTGAGGAAATGGGAAATAGCAGGGTCTCATATATATATATATATATATAATTGAGTTCGAAGAAAAAAATAAGAAAGTTACTTGAAGAAAAGAACGAGAAAGCCAGCATGCTTAGCGAAATAGAAAGAGGATCTTATAAAAGAACAAAAAAGTTGCTTGAGAGTCTTCAAAAAGCCAATAATCAATAATTTGAAACCATAACTTACGGTACAAATTGGTCTGTTGCCACTAAACTACTTTCCTTGTTTATGTAAGTAATAATAATATATAATTCGTGTCAACCACCTATGATATATAATCTTTTCAAAGTTATATATTACTTTTTCAACTTTAACAGTTTGTGTTAAATTACTAATCAAATTTTAATTGGTGACATTCAGCTTAAAAAATTATTATCAATATTTGTATTTATATACTATTTTTAAAATATTTATGAAATTTGTATGACATCTTGGTTCAATCAGATAAAACCAATGACTCGTCCACCTAAATTTTTTCTAATTAGCTTACCGGTTCAATTTTTGAAACATTGAGTGATTCAAAATACACTCTAAACTTCTCTCCACGCCTATCTTCTTAAAAAAAAAAAAATTCAATTTTCTCAATAAAGAAAAAAAAATCAATAAAATCATAATACCACGTCTTCACGGATATATAATATAATTCCTAGCCAATAATAATTTATCATACTAACACAACAAGGCTCAATATATCTGTGGCCAGTGGCTTCCGTTCAAAATCGAATTGGAACGTGGTGTCCACTATAAAACTTTGGTCTCTACACTAATCTCTCTACACTAAGAGAGAGTTGAGAACTAGGCGATGGAAAGAGGTGGTTGGAATCCAGTGATTCATAGGAAAAAGGTGGGAAGGCAGAGACGACCTGGCAAAGAGGGAGGGTTGGTCACTATTTTTGTGGATAACATTCCTGAATCCATGGATCCCAAAGGGTTATTTAGCCTATTTTGCAAGTTCGGCATAGTTAAGGATGTGTTCATCCCAAGGAAGAGAAGGAAAGCAACAAGATCTCGATTTGGGTTCGTCAGATACGACTGTGAAGTGGTGGCAGATATGGCGATCTAGAAAGCCGATGGCTTGTGGTGTGATAACAAGGCCTTAATGGTTAAAAGGGCAGAGTACCAAAAATCCCAAACTCTCGGTCCAATGGAGCAAAGGGGCCAATACAGAGGTGAAGATGGTTCGAGGATTTTGCAGAGGGCTCATTTGCAGCAGAGGCCACATCATGGTGGCAAGAAGACTTATGCAGAGGCGTTGGTTAGTGTTGGCTCAACTGACAAGGACAAGGTGGTAATCAAGGCCAAGGAGGAAGGTAATGGATGGCTGTGTGAAAGCCTAGTTGTGAAAATGAGAAGTTTTCTTGCTTTTAAGGATTTCAGATCAGAGTTGTGTATCAGAGGGTTGACGGATGTGGTTGCTAGGGAATGTGGAGGCAACTTAGTGCTGCTAACATTTAGCTCTGTCCAGCATATGATGGAAGGGAAGGCTCAGTTGGAAGACTGGGGTCAGAAGTGGTGCGACTCAGTTGAAGAATGGGAGGAAGGTCAATTTGTAGAGCAGGAGAGGTGTGTATGGTTATATTGCTTTGGTATACCAATTAACCTTTGGAGTGTCACAACCTTTCGCAGTGTAGCTGGCCATTGGGGTTCGGTGGTTCAATTTCAGGAAGATATAATTAATACTAGCACCTTCCACCAAGGAAGAGTTCGTGTGCTCACGAGGTGCATGGAGATGATCAATACAACCGTTTATTTAGAGTGCAGAGGTAAGCTAATTCCGGTGAGAGTTTGTGAGGAACCTCCATGGTGTTTATGTCATAGCACCAGCATTAGCACGAGCAAGAATCATGTTCAGATCCAAACCAGCGACAGAGAAGAGGTTAACCAACTGTCTGGTAATGGTGGGTGTAGAAGAAATACTAAGCAAGCTTCTTCAGGAAAGGTGGTAGGTATGGAGGGAGGCTCAGATGGATTAAGCAGGGTGATGGAGACAATGCCAGCCAGAGTAGAGGTGTTAGGCAGGGGAAATGATGGCAAGCATGCAATAGCCGTAGGTGCAACTCAGGGATGCATGGGGAACGACAATTTAGGTGCACTTTCCAACGAGGGCAGTCTAATTCAGCAAGTAAACACAAAGGTGGTAATGATGAATGAGATTCAAAATCTTAATGGAGATACAGGCACTTCTGGGCCAACAAAAGGCTTCCATGGTCCAGAAGGGGACAGTCCACACATTAATCTGGAGGTCTTTCTTAAGGGAGTGCAAATTGGGCCCCAGCTTTGTGGATCAAATAAGCAAGTGGGCCCAAACTTGGGTGATAGTATGGACCAATTCAATCTTAGGCCCAATCTGATTCAATCCATTCAAACGAAATTGGGAAAGAGGGTTGTTGGCAACAGTAAAGGTAAGAATGTTACAACACACAAAGCCCACCATCCTTGGAAGAAAGGCCTCATTGCAAAGAGTGGCAGCCGTGTAGTTGGTAGTACTAGCAGACAGAAAGGTGTGGTCCGAAGTATGGGATTTTCAAGAGGTGCTTTCTTCAGAACTTCTGCAGTAGTCGTGGCTTCATCTCTATCATCTTTATCCCAGAATGCCTCGAGAATTAGAAGGAGAAATTTGGTAGAAGAAGCTAAGAAAACTCTAAAGGTAGGAAGTATACTGGGGCTGCAGTTCCATGGCCAAGAAGATGAGGTTGTGAGCAAATTAGTGGAGCTAGAAGAGAAGGATGTGGAAAGAGCAGCAGGTGCTGAAAGGGCAAACAGAAATTAGCAGTCTAACAATGGGGGAATTGGGTGCATCATGCATGTATTATTATGAAGATTTTATCTTGGAATGTGAGAGGGCTGAGAAGGCCAGAAGAAAGGGGGAAAATCAGAAATTTGGTGAAGGACAGGAATGTAGATGTCTTGTTACTGCAAGAAACTAAAAGAAGTACTTTGGATGAGTTTTTTGTGAAAACCATTTTGCCATATGAAGAGATGGATTTTTTGGGGGTGGATCCAGATGGCAGTGCTGGTGGTCTTTTGTGCATCTGGAGACCAAATGTCTTCCAGCTTAAAGATTGCTGTTGCAGTAGGAATTTCATCCTAATATCAAGTTCAACATGTTTTTCTTTTGACTGTGTTGTTAATATTTATGCCCCAAACGAGGTCCTGAGAAGGAGTCAATTATGGGATGCTCTGGTGAGTGTGTACCCTCATTATTCAAACCCATGGTGCGTGGGTGGGGACTTCAATGAGATCAGGTTCATGAGCGAAAGGATAGGGTGTTCAAGAAGAGAGAGAGGGATGAAGGATTTTAATGAGTTTATACACAGATTGGAATTTTCTGATTTGCCTATGCTAGGTAGACAGTTTACTTGGTGTAATGCTCTAGATGGGGAAAGATGGAGTAGGATAGATCGATTTTTGCTGGATTCAAGATGGCTGGAAAAGTTTTCCTTCAAACAGTGGGGTCTCCCTAGAACCATTTCAAATCACTGCCCAATTTTGCTGAAGGAGGATGATAGGGACTGGGGTCCCAAACCTTTCAGGTTCTTAAATCCTTGGCTGTCACATCCTTCCTTCTTGCCTGAAGTACAACAGATCTGGGGGAATAGTCATGTTTCAGGTTGGGCAGGGTTTAAACTACTGAGCAAGCTAAGAATTTTAAAATCTCATTTAAAGGTGTGGAACAAGGAGGTGTTTGGTAACATTGACTCTCAATTAAAAGTAGCCGAAGAGGAATTGCATGATTGGGACTTGAAGGCAGAAATCAGGCCTTTGACTGATATGGAGCTACGAAGTAGAAGAGAAGCTAGAAGTTTGGTGTGGAATCTAAGTAGAAATAAGGAGAGTCTATGGCACCAAAAGTCCAGAATGCTATGGGCTTGAAATGGCGATAAAAACACCAGATTTTTCCATATAATGGCCAGCAGGAGGCAAAGAAAGAATTTGTTAGACTTAGTCTGTGTGGAGGGGGTGAACCTTGAGGACCCTACTCTAATCAAACAAGCTGTGACCAAGCACTTTAGGCATCAGTTTTCAGAGAATTGGGTTGTTAGGCCTAAGTTATCAGGTCCTTTTGATGTAATTAGTTCTGAGGCTGCAGCTAATCTAGAAACATCGTTCTCCAAGGATGAGATTTGGGCAGCTATTAAAGATTGTGACGGGAACAAGGCCCCTGGGCCAGATGGATTTAATCTCGCATGCATTCAGAGGTGTTGGTCTACTATGAAAAGTGAAATAATTCAATTTTTTCAAGAATTCCACTCAAATGTAAAATTATCAAGCGGGATAAATAGTTCTTTCATTGTGCTCATTCCTAAGAAGGATAGCCCTGTAGGTTTGGGTGATTATAGGCCTATTAGTTTGGTTAGCTCTATTTACAAGATCTTGGCCAAGGTTCTATCTAGTAGGTTAAAGCAGGTGTTTCCAACTGTGATCAGCGAGGTGCAGTCAGCTTTTCTAAGTGGTAGACATATTTTAGATGGTGTATTGATAGCCAATGAAGTTGTAGATGGGTGGAGAAGAGCTAAAAAGAAAGGCATTATACTGAAGTTGGATTTTGAGAAAGCCTATGACTCCTTAAATTGGGAGTTCTTATTGTCAATGTTGGGTAACTTCGGCTTTGGTGCAAGATGGATTAGGTGGATGTTGGTCTACTATGAAAAGTGAAATAATTCAATTTTTTCAGGAATTCCACTCAAATGTAAAATTATCAAGCGGGATAAATAGTTCTTTCATTGTGCTCATTCCTAAGAAGGATAGCCCTGTAGGTTTGGGTGATTATAGGCCTATTAGCTTGGTTAGCTCTATTTACAAGATCTTGGCCAAGGTTCTATCTAGTAGGTTAAAGCAGGTGCTTCCAGCTGTGATCAGCGAGGTGCAGTCAGCTTTTCTAAGTGGTAGACATATTTTAGATGGTGTATTGATAGCCATTGAAGTTGTAGATGGGTGGAGAAGAGCTAAAAAGAAAGGCATTATACTGAAGTTGGATTTTGAGAAAGCCTATGACTCCTTAAATTGGGAGTTCTTATTGTCAATGTTGGGTAACTTCGGCTTTGGTGCAAGATGGATTAGGTGGATGAAAACTTGTATTTCAACAACTAAGATGTCTATATTGGTCAATGGCTCACCTACTAAGGAATTCCAACCCCAGAAGGGTTTAAGGCAAGGGGACCCTTTAGCCCCTTTTTTGTTCATCGTGGCAGCTGAAGGTCTCAATCTGTTATTAAAAAGGGCAGCAGAGAAGGGCTTGTTTAAAGGTGCTGTTGTAGGCTCTGACCAGTTGGGTATTTCACACCTACAATTCACAGACGACGCCATTATTTTTTGTGAAGGTGGTAAGGATGAAATTTTGAATATAAAGAGGGTGTTGAGGTGCTTTGAGGTGATATCTGGTTTAAAGATCAATTATCATAAGAGTGTTGTGTGTGGGGTGGGCTACCAGGATGATCAATCCAAGGAGTTTGCTAAGATCCTGAATTGTTTTTCCAAGAAGCTGCCGTTTAATTTCCTAGGCTTGCCTTTAGGGTCCAATCCCAGCAGGAAGATCACTTGGGCCCCAGTTGTGGCTAAAATTCAAAAGAAACTTTCATCTTGGAAGAGAAAGTTATTATCCTTTGCTGGTAGACTAACTCTGATTAAATCAGCCCTATCCAATTTGCCGATCTATTTCCTGTCTCTTTTCAAAATGCCTAGAGGGGTAGTAAAGATTATCTCTAAATTGCAGGCCAACTTTCTGTGGGGGGGATCTGCAACCAGTAGGAAAGTGCACCTAGTGAAATGGAAAGAGGTTACCAAGAGTAAGAGTCAAGGAGGCTTGGGAGTGAGGGATCTAGGAGAGGTTAATGAGTGTCTGCTCTTGAAGTGGTGGTGGAGGTTCAGTAAGGATGACAAGGCTCTGTGGAAATCTGTGGTGTGCTCTAAGTATGGTAGGATTAGAGGGGGTTGGAGTCCCCTGGTAAATCAATTAGGTGGTACTTCAATTGTGTGGAAGGACATCTCACAGCTTTCTATGGTCAATCAGCAGCTGGGTGCTTTCTTTTTTGATCAGGTCAAAATCATCATTGGTAATGGGAGGAGAATCAACTTCCGGCATGACGCTTGGTTGGGAAGCAGAGCCTTGAAAGTTGAATTCCCCAGATTATTTAGTTTATCAACAGAGAATGAGGGGTCTCTGCAGCAAAGAAGAGCACCCCAGGGGGGTGGCAGCTTCAGTTTAGAAAGAATTTACTAGCTTGGGAAGAGGAGGAGGTTCAGAGGCTGCTAGGGATGTTGGTTCTATCCCCTTCTCTAAGATCTGATATTGAGGATTCCTGCTCCTGGGCAACAGAGAAATCAGGGCAATTTACAGTTGCATCTGTGTGGAGGTGGAGGGTCGTAGCTAGGGGCCTTGGTCTGGGTGTTCCTCCGGGGGTGTGGGTAAGTTTTGCTCCTCAAAAAATGCAAATCCTTTGTTGGTTGGCTTGGCGTGGTAGGGTAAAAATTACTTCCTTCCTTCAAAGAATAGGGGCTATTGATACGAATACTAACATTCTCTGTGTTCTCTGTAAAGCTGAGGTGGAAACTGTTGATCATGTTCTTTTGTTTTACCCTCTAGTGTGGAAGTGTTGGTCTACTATGGTTGACTAGTGGGATTAGGTATGGGCCACACCAGGATCAGTAGCAGACCTGCTACATTGGTGGGCTGGAGGTAGGTTCAAAGGCTGGTTACTCAAAGCGTGGCAGATTGTCCCTGTTGTTGTGCTATGGTCTGTCTGGAAGCTGAGGAATGACTGCGTGTTCAAGGGTGCTCATCCCAACATTCAAGATTTGTGCGAGAAAATTAAGGTGCAGATAGCCTTGTGGATCAAATGCCATGTGGTGGTGAATTATTCAGTCCATGACATCGTGTCCAATCTCTATCAGATCAGGTTGGCCCTTTGAGGTTTGTGGTGAATTGCTGGGATTGCATTGGTTGCTATTTGGTTGCTATTGCATTGGTTCTATTGGTGGGGCTTTTGTTTTGTTGCAGCAGCACTCCAATCGCTGCATTGCAGCTTCAGCCTTGGTGAATTATTCAGGTTTGTGGTGAATTGCTCGGTGAAGATCTGCAATGGTGAATTCTGGTTCTGGTTTGTGTTGATTGCTAGGGTTGGGTTATTCTAGCTGGTTTGGTCAGGTCTGGTTGCTATTGACTGATCACATTGCCAAGGTCACTAGCAAGGCTTGTTCTGGTTTTGTGCCAGGAGTATTGGTTAATCCCAAGGTCAATCGCAGTGGGCTGCTTTTCTGCTATTGGTTTGTTGTCGGTTTGCTTTTGGTCTATTAGTTTTCTTTTGCTGTTCTTGTCTGTGTTTTTCTTCATCTTCTTGGGTTTGGTTCCTCACCAAACTCCTCTCCCTCCTCCTTTGTTGATGTAATCTCTCTTCTTGTTTGGTTTTTGCATCTATATAGGTTCCTTTTTGCTGATCAAAAAAAAAAAGGCTCAATATATCTGTGGTGATTGCATAATTATCTTAAAACACATAATTACACATGAATTGTATGTCCTTTTATCATTAATCGATGAGATATCCCATATCAATAATAATATAAGATTACTGTTATACTGAATGTGTACTCTCATCTTCTCTCGCACATTAGCATGTGTGCTCTCACAAGATGGGCATGAATTATGGAGAGCAGTTCGGGATATGTACTTGGAATATTATTTTGCCCTCAATAAAATTGAAAATAATAATATGTTCTTACAAATTGTGTACTTGCAAAATTTTGCCCTCAACGAAAAGTAATTATTTTATTTTAATTTTAAAATAAAATAAAATTAATGGTAGCATTCTTATTTAATGTTGATTGAATTTATAATTATTTTATACATAAACATAAATGTGCAGAGTCACTATGGTTATCACCACCACTACACCCCCACTCCGCCAACACCATAGTCGTCGCAGTTGCTGCCACTACCGCTATCTATCCACTACCACTATCAACCATTTAGTACACATGCGAGGATTTAAAAATAAATAAATAACAATATTTAAGACCAATTATATTATATATACATAGAAAAGTGCAACAAAAAATTAGAGAACCCAATAAGGAAACTTTTGGGGCACAAAATCGCGGTAAGGAATTTTTGGGGCTCTTTTGGGGCACAAAACCTACTTTGCTAACTCCTCACCATTTGGTGCCGAATGGAGTTGAAATGCAATTGGACGGCATCAAAAAATATGCTTAAAGCCATGCTAGATATCGTCAAATCGGCAAGTAGAGCAAAGTTGGATCATCGCATCAAAACATCCTTTCAGATTGCATGCAGCTCGATATTTGACGGCATCAAAATACCTTGGACGGCTTCAAATTGCACTTAAAACGGCTTCAAGATACACCCCAAAAAATATTATGAAGACACCATCAAAATGCACTTGGTAAATGATATCAAAATGCAATTAAGAGCATGCTAGATAGCGAGCATGCTTGATAACATTAAATGTGCTTAGAACCATTGCATATGGATTAAAATGCACTAGACCTTGGATGGCGTCAAAATACCTTGGAGTTGAAACCCGCTTTGCTAACTGCTCGCCATTTTGTGCCGAATGGAGTTGAAATGCAATTGGACAGCATCAAAATACACTTAAAGCCATGCTAGATATCGTCAAATCAGAAAGTAGCGCAAAGTTGGATCATCGCATCAAAATATCCTTTCAGATTGCAAGCAGCTCAATATTTGATGGCGTCCAAATAACTTGGACGGCTTCAAATTGCACTTAAAATGGCTTCAAGATACACTACAAAAAAAACTTATGAAGACACCATCAAAATGCACTTAAGACCATGAAAGATGGGTATCAAAATGCACTTGGTAAATGATATCAAAATGCAATTAAGAGCATGCTAGATAGCATCAAAATGCGCTTATCAAAATGCACTTGTGAGCATGCTTGATATCAAAATGTGCTTATCATAATGCACTTAAATAGCATGCTAGATAGCATTAAAATGTGTTTAGAACCATTGCATATGTATTAAAATGCACTAGACCTTGGATGGCGTCAAAATACCTTGGACAGCTTCAAATTGCACTTAAAACGGCTTCGAGATACACTCAAAAAAAAAATTGATTAAGACACCATCAAAATGCACTTTTTCTACTACTTTCAGATGTCATTTTCTACACAACAAATGAATAAAAAAACAATTTTAGTGTAATGTAATGTGTGATGAATTCATTATTTGTGCCTTTTTTTTTTCCCCTAACAGAGACAAAAGAAGAAGCCAGCATCGAAGAGAAGTAAAAAAAAAAGAGACAGCAAAAAAATAAATAAATAACCAGAGAGATCAGATAAGAAGGAGAAGAAGACAGCATCGAAGAAGCAAAAAAAAAAACAGAGACAGCAGTGAAGGGGAAGAAGAAGAAGAACCCAGAATTGAATACGCAGAGAGAGAGAGAGAGAGAGCAGGAAAAAAAATGTGCTAGATAGCATTAAAATGTGCTTAGAACCATTGCATATGGATTAAAATGCACTAGACCTTGGATGGTATCAAAATACCTTGGGCGGCTTCAAATTGCACTTAAAACGGCTTCAAGATACACTCCAAAAAAAAAATGATGAAGACACCATCAAAATGCACTTTTTCTACTACTTTCAGATGTCATTTTCTACACAACAAATGAGTAAAAAAAAATTTCAGTGTAATGTAATGTGTGATGAATTAATTATTTGTACATTTTCTTTTTTCCCAATAGAGACGGAAGAAGAAGAAGAAGAAGACAACATAGAAGAGAAAGTAAAAAAAACAGAGAGAGCAAAGAAGAAGAAGAAGAAGAAGAAGAAGACAGCATTGAAGAGAAGCAAAAAAAAAAATAGACAATAAAAAAAACAGAGAGAGCAGAGAAGAGAAGAAGAAGAAGACGAAGACAGCATTGAAGATGCAAAAAAAACAGATACAGCAGTGAAGGAGAAGAAGAAGAACCCAGCATCAAATAAGCAAAACCCATAGAAAAAGCAGAAGAAAAAACGACAAAAAAACAGAGGCAGCGGATGAGGAGGCGGAGGAGGAGGCCAAAAAAAACCAAGAAAGAAGAAAGTAAATAAAAAAGAAAAAAGAACAGCAATAGTGAAGAAGAGAAGAAGAACTTGTAGGACAATCTTCACTGTATTTAAATAAATTAAATTCTATTGTGTACTAAACAACAACCACAATATAAAGAAATAAAGGAAATGAGAGAATTTGTTTGATTACAAAAATCAAACTCGAAATAAAAATAAATAAATAAAAACAGATTTTATTTTGTTACAAAAACAAAATTAAAATCTGATTTAAATAAATAATAATAACACTAAAAATAAATTAAATAACTTACTTGATTTAATTTGTTTGAATTATAATCTGATCAGGTCCAGTGTTTGACACTGTGTCCGTAAGACAGATTTGTCCTCTCCACGGTGCTTTCAGAAATTGGACGTCTGTCTCCCAGGATGAAATGATCTACTACAAACAATAGCAGCACTACAAATTGTTTGCCTCACGAACACACTAAGTGTTTACACTCTTTTTTTCAGAAATTAAATGCAGCAAAATGCAGAGATTTATAGCAGAGGATGGACCACTCTCTGCCGCTGATTCATCTCACAGGATTCAGCGGCTTTTTCACCCTAGGGTATAGTGCGCACCGATTCATACGGCGCGCCCACCCATGTCCGACGAGGTTATCACTAGGGAAGGTTTAAGGCCAAAGCTACTTATCCTGATGCAAGATATTTTCGACTTCTACTCTTTCGATAGTCTGCATATTGTTGCATTTCCGTTGTCATCAAATTCCATTCATGTGGGGGATTGTTGAAATGGTTATAAAATTCTGGATAAAACAGAATTTTTTCCTAAGTTTGGTCTATTTTTTAGGTGGGCCCCGGCGTCGATTTTCATGGGTTAAAGTGGTAACGCGTTCTATGCCGTGTTGTGATTCACATGGTATATTTGGTTGCTCGAAACCATTACCGAGTGAATGGGAAATTGAAGCCAAAGTGTGCTCCATGGAAATGGAGTTTGGTGGAAATTCCTTAAGGTTGTAAAATGGTTTGTCCCACATTGATTTGGTGGGAGGTTTTGAATGGGTTTATAAGGCTTGGGTTTGGTACTTGGGGTGTGCCCCAAGGGGTACCCAAGTGTTTTAGAGGGAGAGGTTATGGGCAAAATGGGCTAGACCCATTGGACCCAAAAATCACCACACACGCGCACGCCGCCTCCGCTTCCGTCTGGTCGGGCGGGCTGGGCTGGGCCTGGGCTTGGGCGCGGGTGCGTGGTGTGAGGTTGGGTTGGGCTTGTTCGACCCAATACTAATCTTTTTGGGCCAAAAACATTTGAATTTAATTTTATTTTGTTTAAAATAAAATCCAGAATTCAAATTAAATCGGAATAAACTGGTTTGGTTTTACTGTACATCCAAACAGGGCCCTTCCCGAAATAAACTAGTTTGGTTTTTAACGTACATCCAAATAGGGCCCTCCCGTTTTTGTACCTGTTTAAATTATGAACCCAACAGATTCAAATCTGTTTGAATTCAAAACCAACAGGTTTTATACCTGTTCAATTCAAAACCAATAGTCACCTTTACATCTATAAATAGACTAGCCTCCCATTTGGATTTTTCTCCAATTTTCGTACTCTAT